ACTGGAGTGTCGGCACAGGGGCCCCGGCCATGCGCTCCCCTCCTGTCCAGCCCCCCACTCACCATGGCCATGCTGGAGAGCTGGACGGCGGGGCGGCCCGGAGGCACCAGCGAGATGTTGAGGAAGGCAGAGACAGAGATGGAGGTGCCCGAGGGTTTGATGATGCAGCGGGGAGGAGCCGACACCTGTAGCACCAGCCGCAGGGGAGCGTCCACAGCGGGGCTCTGGGGAGGGCAGGTGAGCCAGAGGCACAGAGCTGGGCAGGGCTGTGCTCTGCCCCAGGGGCTTCCCTCTGCCCAAGGGGCACCCAGCCGGGTGCTCCTCTCACCAGCATGAAGATGGTCCCGAAGAAGGTGGCTCTCAGCAAAACCTCCAGGTCCTTGGGCACCTGCAGGGAGGACAAACCACCGGAGGGTAAGCGAGCAGTTGCTCTTGATCCCAGCAGAGCTGCTCCCTGGATGGCACCTTCTCTGCTCTGCAGGCAGGGCCCAGCCCTCCCTCCTGCCTGGCAGCCCGCCCCTGCCCACAGAAAGCTGCCTGAGCATAGCCGGGTGACCCAGCACTGCTTACCTTCTCCCCCCGGAGCTCTATGGCCAGCACACCTGCCTGGAAGTACGCGTGCATGGCCGAGTCAAAGAAGTACTCAGAGAAGGCAACGTAGACCATGCGCTCAGTCTCCTTGATCACCGGTTCCACCGCGTGGTTCTCCAGCTCCTGGTTCTCTCTTGCACGAGGGAAGAACATGCCCTGGGACGAGAATAGGAGATGTTTCTGCAGCCGTAGTGCAGCCCACCCTGCTCGCTCCATGGTGCCCAGCGTGCAGGCTGGCACAGCCGCTCCCACGGGGACTGTGGGAGGGTCGGCAGGGCAGGACCCAGTGTTCACCTTGAAGTCTAGGTCGAGGGTGTCCGTGGAGACGGCCGGATCCCGCAGGAGGGAGTAGTCAATCCCAACGTGCTCATCCACATAGTTCCTCACTGCCGGGGAAGATGTGCTGTGGTGACCAAGCCTGTGAGCTGCCCAGCAGCCTGATGCCCAGTTCTGCCCTCCCCACGGTGAGTGGGGTCTGGTCCCTTCCCCCAGGGCAACACTCACCCGGCACCGTGTCCAGCACGGAGTTCAGCAGCACCAGGCTGGCATGCTCCAGGGACGGGCAGATCTGAAAGGCAAGGGGCTGGGCTAAGAGGGGAATCGCTCAAGGTGTGGATGAGGACCTGGACCATCCTCCTGCTGTGGGGCAGGGCAAGGCCAGGCTCCCCCAGGCTCCATCGCCTGTCTCCACCCAGCTGTACCTGCTGGCTGAGGAGGAAGCGCATCCCTGTGACGATGAAGGTGCTCAGGAACTCGTAGACCTTCCTGCAGGACACAACAGCAGCTCTGCGGCTGCTTGCCTTCCCCTGCGGCTCCAGCCCTGCCCCTCCATCCCCGTGCGAGCACACAGCCTGGGCTGGGGAAGTCCCGAGGGTACAGAAAGGGGAGCCAGGCACAGGCGGAGCTGGCCCAGCGGGGGAACAGGTCTGCTGCGGTGGGGTTGGGTGTACCTGAGTGTGCCAGAGAAGCCTGCATGCATTCTGGCAATGGAGGCGTTGCAGGTGATGTTAGAGATCTTCAGGCGCCCAGACTCGTCCTTGGCCAGCTGCAGCACTGTGTGGATGTGGACACCATCCGCAGAGGCATTGATGGACCCGATGTCATAGCTGGAAGTGAGGAGAGCAGATGAGAGGAGAACCTCCTACCAGCTGCAGGGCAGCAAGGCACCCATGGCACTCAGCAGGCACAGCCAAGCAGTGGCTGTGGCCCGGCCGAGGGGTAGGCTGGTGCCTGCAGGAGCGGGAAGGGGAGGTAGCTCACAAGAACCAGTAGAGCAGCTGCCTCCGGAAGCGCAGGCTGATGGAGGCATTGTTGATGTTAAAGACGAGGTGCTGCTGAGGCTGGAAGTACAGGTCGGAAAATGCCAGCTGCAGATCCACCACCTTGACCCTGCAGGGGAAGGGACACAGATGGTCAGACGGACAGATGGACGCGGGGAGCCACATGCATGGGGAGCGGGCAGCACTCACTGGCTGATGTTGTAGTGGAACTGCCCCTCCTTCCCATGGAGGTCTGACACCGTGATGTTCTGCAGCTCCTGCTCCACGAAGTGCAGCCCCTCCTGCTTCACTGCAAAGCAAAGCGAACCTGGGCTGGCCACAGCATCGCCCCCCAGCCAGTCCCCCGGCTCCTCTCCAGCCGCCCCACGTGCAGGCAATGCAGGCAGAGCCTTACCCAGGTGCAGACCCCAGGAGCAGTGTCCCAACCTGCCTCTTACCCAGGCCCCGGGAGCAGGGTCCCATCCGGCCCCTTACCCAGGTCCAGCCCCTTGGAGGTAATCCGGATCTTGCAGCCAGGTGGGCTGTGCGAGGCCGTGACCAGCCAGGGCAGGAGGAGGAAGAGGAGGAGGCAGCAGCTGCTGGCAGCCATCTCGTACCTGGAAGCAGATAGCAGGGTCAGCACAGGCTGGCTTAGTCAGTGGGGCACACGGAGGAT